TGCTCTCTCTCTCTCTCTCTCTCTCTTTCTATCATCTAAATCGACTTCTCACTCCCAGTCCTTCTCCTACTTTGGTGGCCCCGACTCTCTGCCGCACTCTCGCTCACTGTCCCTCGCTGGGTTATTCTAACCGTTTTTATAATAATAAAAAATGTTTACTTAATTATTATTTTTTATATGAAATATATATACACCTATATATATATTGTATATTGTTTTTTATGTTTAGATGGGGAGGTTAATTTTTTAGATGAAGGGACCAGTTATGGCATTTCGATTGTTTTTCTGTACTACGAGAGTCACTTGACCTATATATTTTATAACAAACTGTTTAATCTAGGGGTGTCACACTCATTTTGGTTCATGGGCTTCATGCAACCTAAGTAGATGTCAAGTTGGGCCAGACCAGTACAATCATAACATGATTAACTCTAAGTAACAATAAGTCCATGTTTTTCCCCTTTGATTTTATGCAAAGAAGTACAAATATATATGATATTTATTATTGACATTATATTTAAATGAAATATAATTTTTTTTAAATATTCTGAACATGAAGTATTTGTGTATTTTTTAATTTTCAAAATTCATCAAGGGTTGAGAGTTGAACAGCCTAGCGGGCAGAAAATAATGCCGTTATTGGGAGTAAAAGTAATAGTAATAATTGCATTCTTCTTTGCGTACAGCGCTCCTAATGAAGGACAAACAATCACTCCATATTCTGGCCATGGTCCCGCAAATTATCATTTTTACACAATAAAGGTCGACCCAGGAGCAGTTGTTTATGTGGGGGAAAAAAAATACATTGTTTAATCCTCTCTTCTCATATGACACTAGACAAAAATATAGCAATCCAAATCTTGAGCTTGATGTCAAATATGTTGTTAAAAAGATTTAAAGCGATATGAATCTGTAATAATACTATCGCTTTCAGCAGTCATGAAAAATGTCTTCCGCGTGAATTGAAAGAGCAGATGCTTTTGGATTTGATTTGTATCCCCGTGGCTGTCTGCCAGTGCCATTATTGACAATTCTTTCAGACCACCACAGTGCTGTGTTAGTTGCTCATACTGCCGTATATTGTTTAATGGATAGAAACAGACTGTAAGACCCTTGAATTTTCCAGGGTGGATCGAGAGGTTTTTAATACTAAACATAGTTTGACAAATGATGACTTATGAGTGTGGATATACGCAACTAGTCAAAATGTCTCACAAAGAGTCTAAAAATTCGGACTCATACATGACACATTTATAAAAACAACATTTTTTTGTGTTTTTTTTTTTTTTTCCCCGATTCTTTACTCTTCAGATTTGACCATGCAGTAGCTAAAGGATTTCACTGAATTGTTGCCCTGTTCAGATCGCTCTTAGACTCTGGGCTTTTTTGTTAGGTTACTGCCACATCTGCAGAGCATGCTCTCTCTCTCTCTGTCTGTCTGTCTCTCTCTCTCTCTCTCTCTCTCTCCCCCACCCCCTCTGTCTCTCATCTTTTTCCTACCCTTATGTCTATTAATCTTCCTTTCTCCACTCCCCCCAGCCATTGCTTTCATCTTTGCACACACCTCCACTCCCATTTCTCATTTTTTAACAGACATTTCTGGATGCTTTCTTCTATTATCATTTTTTTCTGTATGCAGTCTGCATCTTTCTCTCTCTCCCCTCCCTGCAAACGGAGGTGGGCAGGCTTCCCAGTGCTGATGCATCTAGCAGGTGCAGCCTCTTTCTCTCTGCTGTCTCCCTCCCTTCCCTTCCCTCCCTCCCTCCTTCCCTCCTCTGGCTCTCTTCCTCCCTGCAGCTCTGTCTCCTTTTCTCCATCTCTCTCCCCTTTTCTCTCTTTGGCTTTATGCTCATAGTCTTGCTCAGCCAATGTGCACACATTGCTCTCCCTGGCGCTCTCTCTCTC